CAGTTTTTTTCCTGCAAATTGCAGTCATGTTGTAACTGGGACAGGGGACAAACATGTTGTAAAAAGATCCCCTGACTACACTGAACTTTTTAGCACAGTAAGGGCCTAAGAAGATGCCTGTGCCGATATTAAAAACAAATAAGATAGATTTTCAGTACTGTCAAGCTAATAAACAAAACAGCAATGCCTTTGAATGTCCCAGTAATTTCAAGATAAACACTTAATTTAATTCATTATGGAGTACTGCAGTCCATCAGGTGTGCTGCCCTGAAACCTAGCAAGAAACATAAAGAGGATCTAGCACAATGCATCCCGCCTTTCACTCCAGAGGGCCTCAAGTTCTGTACAAACTACAGCCAAGATGTTAAAAAGAGGTTGGAGCAACTGTTTTTTAACATTTAAGGAACTGTGTGGTAACAAAAAAGAATTAGCTGGTGCCAAAGCAGGATTCCGGAAACTTAACTTTTGACATAGTAGTTTGTAGTAAGCTATCGGTTCTGTGCACGCTTTGAAGCAAAAAAACGCATGCTCACCATTGAACACAACTGCATCAAAAATGAAAAGCAGCACTATTTATAAAAGCTTGACACCATCACTCACTAGCTTCATAGAGAAGGATAGCGCATCCAAATGTAAATTCGGAAATAATCTCAAATCGGCAGACAGCAACAACTTCCAAAGTCAGAATTCAAACCGGGACACAAGGCCAAAAGCTCTATTCTTGGTAAAAGGGTCCATGCAGGTTTCTGGCTGTCGAGATAGCACAGCTGCACGCTGCCCCCAGAACGCCCCAACGGGCTCAGGGCTGGGACACTGATGAGGAAGAGTATCACCTCTCAATCACTGTCATTACTAACTCCTGGAGCATTTGGGAGAGGGAGAATACAGAAAATCAAGCCCTGACCAAGCCCAATGCTGTTTTATTCGGAGATTGCTATCTGAGATGGTAAGGCTGCAGGCATACAGGAAAACAGCAAGCACTTCAGAATATCCACTCCCATGCTGAAAGAGCAAGGCTCAGAATATATGTTTGTTTAAATATAATTCTGCCTGGTTCCCCAAACTGCTACTAAGGGATCATTGCTTCCAGAAGAAAAGCTGTTTACAATGATGAGACCAGGGAGTTCCTCTTCTATTTTTCTAGTAGTTAGGGGGCTAATTCCCCATCCACAAGAGGGTAACTTTTAATACAGTAAAACAACAAAACCATCTGTGTCCTGAGTGATTCAAAACTCAAAGACATTTGCTTTTTACATTTTCAAAAGAGTGCAAAGGTTGAGACCACATGTTACTCCTAAGAGATTATTTCTGAAAGTGTACATTCTAAAACATAAAACCAAAATACTTCTTTCTAGAACAGTCATATAGGCAAATTTATTACGTATTTCTTAGGGCTTGATCCAAAGGAATGTTCTGCCCATGGCTCCTGGCCCTTATTTAAGCTCAAAAAAGCCTTTGGGGCTCTACAGCTGCAAGGAAGATTTGCATATTGAGAGATAGGTGAGGCTAGTTGCAAGCTTTTTGGCAACACCTTTTTTAATTAGAAGAAAAAATGAATAGATGGTGATTTCATTCAGTTCTTTTTCGGAATAGGTTCCCAGAATAAAATTTCCCATGAAAATACAAGGGAAAGACCAACTCCAGAGAAGCAAGGCTGGGGATATGGATTAATCTAACCATGTCTGATTCAGATCAGGGATCTTATGCTTAGATGAACGCCCTGACCACATATTATGTGGCTGATCTGGACAACAGTAGCGTTTAACTCTTCTCTTCTCTCTCTCACTTGCGTATGGTTCATCAGTCTGTCTGGAGCCTACTTACCAACCCCTACAGAGCAGTGACCTTTACAGCCCAGCTTACAGAAAAGTAAGTTTCATTCCTTCGCAATATACCAGATGAAAGTTACTGACAAGCAAAACTTAAGAGGAGGCTATCCCTGGATCTTGCTACAAAAGCTACATACCACTTCCACCACAAGCTACACCATCTTAACACTGTATTATGCTATCAAAATATTCCGTGTATTTTTAGGAACCTATTGTAAAAAATTCCAGCAAGTGCACTTAATGTTCTTTTGTTTGGCAAGTGACATTACCCTCCCTCCATGGTTAAGACAGCAAATTACCAGACACCCTAAAGAATGCAGTAGTCTAGCCAGCCCTAGAAAAACCCACTTTTAACACCAGCAGCCTCGCCAGCTACCACTCAGGTCTCAGCCTCCCTTTTCTTGGCAACGTCTTTGTGAAGGTATTGGCATCCAAGTGCTAACAGCACCGATCCCTTGCCAATGCCCTGGCTCCTGGCTCCTCGATACACAAGCCTCAGATCAAAACACGATGCAGGAACAGACTATGCTGGCATTGCCAGCCCAAGGGTTCCTGGCCTGAGACAGGAAACAAATCTCAGAGTGGATATCCTCTGGGGCTTTGACAGAACTGACAGCCTGGTTCTAATAATAAGATTCATGTGAAGTTTAATAGGAAAGACTTGGACAGCAGACCTTCTCCTCAGACAGCCTTAAATGAGTGTGAGTCCCTCTTGTTCCCTTGAGCAGCCCCAGAAGCTTGCTCTTGTGCGGTCCCACAAACCTCGGTGCTTTCTTCCTGCCAGTTCAACTCCAAGACAGCATCGCATAGGGAGGCTGAAGAATGCTATAAGTGCGTCTATCCTCAAACAGACAGATGACATTCAATTATGTGCCTGTCTCTGCTCAAATGAAGGGTTTCAAGGCACAGCTTCCATTTTCTGTCCCCACTTGGCATCAGATAAAAGGAATAATACTGCCAGCACTGGCTCCAAGGCATGAGAAAGTGTTATGATCAAATTTCAAGCAGAAAGTTTCATGATGAAACCAGAAACAGATCTTTCTCTCCTCTACCTCCCTCCTCCTCCTGGGACACTGGAGGTCATGAGACATCGTGGGGCATCTGATCTCACCCCATAGGGCAGGCAAAAGGAAGCCTGTAGGATTTGTCTTCTACCCACCCCTTGACTCTGTTGCTGGCAACAGGTTTACTCCTGTCTGGCATAACCTGGAGCTGAGACTAAGGCATAAGCAAATAGTGAGTGTATTTGCAAATACAATGAGTGTATCTGCTACGCTCAGTCAATGGTAAAATATGCTCCTCAATGGTAAAATATGTGCCTCTACTTCCCAAATGTTAGACTGTACTTTAAAAATGGATATTTTTTTTTGGAAAAAGGTAACAATGAGGCTCCAGACTTTGCATTCAGCTTCTCAGATCTACAGATTGGGTTCTTCAGATTGACAAGGTGTGATGTATTAAGCTTTTTTCTTGCACTTCCAAACAGAGATATTTTAAAACAAAAATAGATGCTCTAGAGCTCAGTACTCCAAGTTTTGCAAAACCATGATTATCTGTGAGGAAATTCTTCAGGCTTGTTTTAGGTGTAAATTTGCTGTGGTGGCTTCTTTGGGATTTTTAAACCACGAAGCTACATAATTTACGTCATCTGTTTAATAGAGAAATAAAAGCCTAGTCATACATCCCACAGAGTTTGGTGAGAAACAGCGTCATAGTCTCCCACCAAAAATGATTTCAAACTAATATAAACCTGCATCATCCCTTGCAAAAAATCATGTTAGAAAATAATCCGAAAGAGTTTGACACGTATGAAGTTGTTCTGCCCTCCTATCTCTAAAACACAGCTGCAATCTTCCTGTATTCACTTCTGTTTTTCATATTATAAAGGCCATGTGATTTTTTTGCATTATACAATGAGCTATGATGCTTCTCCCGCTTTTGAGTATTCACATCTGACACACACGGCATAGTCCACGACACTTATAGAATGACTTTGATCCTATCTGTCGTACAGAGCTGCATAATCACAACACAGGTTGTTTTCCTAATGTTAAAACAGACCCAGAAAACTGTCATGTATGTTTAAAGGCCCAGCATCACACAATTACTTGGTTAGAGTGTGATTCATTTAGCATTTAGAAAAAGAAGAAACTGAGTTATAGTTGCAACTTATTTCAGACTTTCACTTCTTCTGAGAGCTGAAATGAGAAGATACAACATGGCTTCACTGGCAGGAGTCACTCCTTACTCATTAAGAAGTATGAGGAAGTCTGACACATTTATTTGTCTTACCCTAATAAAATTTATAAAAAAACAAAGATTTACAAGATTTACTGGCATAGTCCAATTTATTAGAAGGATAAATCCACAAAAATACAAAGAACCTTTGCACTCCTTACTCATTAAGAAGTATGAGGAAGTCTGACACATTTATTTGTCTTACCCTAATAAAATTTATAAAAAAACAAAGATTTACAAGATTTACTGGCATAGTCCAATTTATTAGAAGGATAAATCCACAAAAATACAAAGAACCTTTGGCCTAAATAGTGTGGAATGACAAAGTCTGGTTCTGATTTTCTCTTGCATCTTTTATTTTTAGAGAATCCTTGATAGGACTGTTTCCATAAAAGCACTGATATCTCTCCCTCTCAAAAAAAAAAAGCCAAATGTTGTTAGCATGACCCACTAAAAATGTGTTCAGAAACTGCTGTGAGTTCATATGCTCTTACAAAAATCGAACACTTTTACATCTTAAAATGCCTGCATAAAATAAAATTAAAGGTAAGAAGAAGCTGACAACTTAGGTCACAGACTTTAAAGGGAGAGTAATTTTGTTTTGTCTCTGACAAATGAATAATTGTAGCGTTTGGAGATTTTTATGAAGGTTTGGGATGGTCTCCTCATGCCTCTACCCATCACCACTTACAAATTTCATAAAACTATGAGCAAATGGAGGCAAAAATTCTTTAGATTAAATGAATCCTGGTGAAACTACAATTGAGGCACTGCCATTTCAAAAGAGCTAAAATAATCCCAGCCAGTCCTTCTTATACGTACTTACCAGTGCAAAATAGGTTGCTGACCAATTATGCTCTCTTTAGCTATTAACAGTAGTATCTTTGTTCTCAAACAATGTTAGACTGCACATGTCCTGGAACTTATATTTACCTGGTGGATTCTTGGCAGGATCATTGTGGCTTGGACTTCCTGGTTGTCCAGAATCTATAAAGAAATCAAAGAAGTGTTTTACTAATTTGTTTTGAAAGTATCTCACAACTCTTCAATACCCTCCTTTGGTATTAAACGAATACTTAACTTTGTTCTTTAAAGGTCATTCCCCTGCCTTTCTACATGGAGGCATTACTGAACAAACACACTGTATGTAACCCATTTATACAGAATCAGAAACATTGTCAAAGATGCAACGATCCTCGTAAGAGAAACTCATAGATCACTGAATAAGGACAAGAGAGTCATTCAGGTAAATACTCAGGGCGTAAACACGTCTACAAGGGTACCTTTTCATTCCCTCCCCCTCCATCCCCCAAATATAATATTGCATAATCAGCCAAGCAGAGCTAGCCTCTTCTGATGCAATGACCAGAAAGATGTACCAGATCAGGCAACTCACAGAGTTTGTGGTGATGAATCCTGTTTCTTTACCCTTCCCTTAAAGCATAAAGGCACAGAGTGCTTCCGCAGACTCAGGACTGAAAATATGACTGTCTGTTTTAATACAGTGCAGCCTTTGTGTTCACGTTCTGTTAGGATAGCTGCTGTGAAAGGAAGTTAATGCAACATAAAAACTAACACAAACAAACCCCACAGACTTCAAAGAGTGCATTCTCCTCTTGATACATGCACCTAATGAATCAGGAGAAGAATGCAATTTGATGTTAACACACTAGATAATAAATGTGATCCCTATTTATGAAAGCTGCTCCTTTTAAAAATATCTACTTCTTGCCGCATTCCCACACCAATAACACAATAACATTCTGCCAGAAAATACTACCAACAAAATGCAACATGATAGACAATCTTCTACACAAAGAAAGTAAGAAATGAAATGAACCATGATCATTTGTTCTATATACAGGTATATGAAATGGAGCAGTTTCATAATCTGAATAAGAAGTTGCCATTAGTTTAAAATACAGTGCTGCTCTTTAGTAGCACAGGACCACAAAGAAACTGCATCACTACAGAAATCTGCACTGCCAGATGGATCCCACCACTGTCCAGAGTTAAGTCAGGGTCCTCGACTGAAAGTTCACTCTCCTGCCTACAGTGCTAAATTAAAGCAAAAAAGGTAAGAGAGGAGAGAATTACATAAATCAGTGAATACTGGTCCCTCAATCCCCATCGCTTCTTCTTAAAGCTAATATAGCCTTTAACCTAGAATGAAAGATTCTTTCCGCTTGTTACCCAAGGCTCATTAAAATCTGTTACCATCTGCTATACAGTTTAGCAAACGTGGCTTGACACACATGACTTCCAAACAGATTAAGCTAACACTGACTTGGTCCTACAGAAGGTATTTCCTGACACAGAAATCCATCTCAGAATTCAAGCTCTGAAGATGTGGGAGAAGTTCTCTAAGGAAATATACTTCTACGTCCTGTAACTCATTCACTCGAACTATGTTCAGATGAACTACTGAATTCATCTGAATTATGTGAATTTCAGAAGATGAGAATTTGGGGATCTAACTGGTCTTCTGGAAGACCAAGAATCCAGTTTCAATGCTATTAAAAACACAACTAAATTTTTCAATTCAGAAAAAAAGGATTCTTGCACACAGTAAAATGCATTCAGGAAAGCTAATTTCACGTCATGAAATTTCCTCTATCTTCTTCTAAGCAGCGTAAGCAGAACAAAAAGCAGGCCCCCATCAAATTCTGTGCATCCCATGGTATTTCTGAAATAGGGCACTTTTAGAGACCTGCCCCAGTGCAGAGAAACCAGGGTGCTTGAGATTCCCATCATCATAGCTGGTCTCAGGGTCTGAATCTTCCCGAGAAATCCGGTAGGTGGTAGTGGACAAGGGACCTCTGCCTGAAAGGGCCTTTGGGAACAATTTATCAGTGAGTTCATTACCTAATTCCTTTTTCTGCATATTGCTACATGTGCTGTGAAAAGTCTGAAAGCAGAGGAAGGATGTTACAGGGAAAAATCAAAACTCCTATTTTTAATTCAATTTTTCCATGCCTAATCCTTTTTGGCTAGAGCCCAGAAGGAAAGTAAAGTTAACCTCAACTCTCAATTTTAATTCATATTTTCTGGATCTAATACTTTGTTACTCTTCCTAGATATATAAACCTATTTGCTGATAAAACAACACGTGTATTCTTACATTCGGCTAAAGCCTAGGCTTCCATAAAATCCTAAACTGATTATAAACAAGAGTTCTGGAGCGCAGAGGAACTAGGTAGTTTCAGAACTATTACACGGGAAGTAATTCTCTCCTGAGTAAATCAATAACATACTACACATTTCTCTTTACAAGTAACAAAAAGCCCTTTTAAACAACCAATAGCCACTGCTACAGATCAGATTTTTCCTTTTGGTTATACTCATAAGTTAGTTTGCAGCGCTAACGAAAATCTCCTGAAGTGCCTGAATGAGTTCTGTGAAAGACAATGAACAATACGTATCAATTTTATATGCCTGTATCTCTTCATGATAAGACTCAGCACACCATTTCAAAAAATCAGATCAAATTAATCTGAAAGCTCCACCAGCTACGAGAAATGCTAAAAATACGATATGTTTCTGCATAGGGACCTTCATCAGAACAAAAGTCTTTGTTCCCGTGTTGCAATCAGAAGAGGTTCACCCTCCAGAGCATGAACTTTAATAATCTTCTAACAGGCATTCTTTATTTCTGCAAATAGTAGATATCATTTTCTAAAATAAGATTACCATAGGGGCTTCCTTTTACACAGCAATGGTGCAAGTATAAAACTGCTGCAGATGTGTGGCGAAATGAAGTGTTTAGGATAACACAGATTTGAAACTGGATTAACGTTCTAAGGCCTTCCAAAGGACAGCCTTCAAAGTTTTCTTCTGCTCAAACTCATCCAAAAATGTGAAAAGTAAAGAATGTTTGTTTGCACAGCAATTTGCCATAAGTCCTGCTTTCTCTTGGTCAACATGGCAACCTTCTGGATCCATAAACCAGGAGTTAATGAAGGATGTTAGTTAAAACAACTCTTTTTCACATTATAATATGATAAACTTAGTATGGAATTTTCCAGGCACAGGGATAAGCGGATGGGTAATTATCATAATTTGCCAGTCAGACTTAGCTTCGTTTTATGTTAACTACTGATCAATCGTGATTTTTACAGATTGATTCTTTCACAGTGTTTTGATCAGTAGATGCTGCTATTTGCCAGTGGGATCTCACTAATATCAAGAAAGAGAAGAATCATTATACATTGAATAGAAGAATCAATTTCTGCAACTCTTCACTTAAAATACACAGATTCTCATTCCTGGGATGAAAGACACAAAACTGTGATGACTCTGATGATCAGGTTCTTTTACCAGTATCAGTAATTATAAAACACTCTTCTGATTTGATTTGATGCAAATAGCCTTACGAAGTGCAAGAGAACCATGATCATCATATGAATAAATTATATGAACAACAATTTATACGCAGAACAGTGAATGAAAAGAGATACTGGAACAAAGCTTTTCTAAAAGGGAAAGTAAGAAGCATTTTTAAAAAAGTCACAGAAAGGAAGGAAGCAGAGGACATGGTAAGATATTTTAAATCTTTGTTTGTCTTTTTCTACACAGGATCATTAATTTGGTAAATAACTTGAGCCCTGGCATCAGAAATTGTAGGCTTTTCTTCCAGTGTGATGGAGAAAGACATAAGCCAGACTCATTGTCTATCTCGCTGGCTTTGCATTCGATCTTACCACTACATACTTCTGCGCATATAAAAGAAAGATGTTCTCGGTCAGAAGTTCTAAGCAAATCTATGCAATCAGCAGCAAATAAAACCCCATATGTAAATATGACAGACCTGAAATTTTCACTATTTTCAATCAGGTTTCTCCCAACTACAAATTTTCTTACATTTTCACTTTTTTTTTAATTTTACTCCTCCTCAAATTTTACTGTTAGTATGCTTTTTTGGAAAGATTCTTCTACAAAGATCTCAGAATTACTTATCCTTATTTGCTGCTTATTTGCTCACCTACACCTACCGTTTCCAGGGAAAGACTTTCGCATGTGTCTCACAACCACAGCAAGCATAGCTTCTGATCTGCTCTTCTTGGAATTAACTGCTCCAAAAGACAATGGATGAAGTCTTGATCAGTCATTGCCTCATGGATGAGCAGTTCATACCAGAACAGTCCAACTAAACCTTTTATCTTTTTCTGGCAGATATGCATGTAACCCTAATACTAGAGATATACTCAATGTAACCTCTTGTGGTTCGATTTGAGCACCATTAGGATATTTAAAATCTTTACCTCAAATTACTCCTTCTTTCAGAAGATAGTACAAAATATGAGTCAACAAGCTGGTATATTTTATACTGAGTTGTTTCCCACATTTTCAGTTCTAGTGGTTAACCTTGATGAGTGTCTAGGGGTATAGACAACTCTCACTACCGGCAAGGTCAAGAAAAAATGACTGGTGGTGAAAAAAAACTGCCCATTTCCCCTGTCAGTGGGAGAAAGGTCATGTTATGACTCATCATTCTCAGCTGCATAAGGGAGTGGGGGAAAAAGCTGCTGATTCACCATCGGAGTAGCAACAAGACGCTCTCTCCTTTTACACCTCAGAGAGGAACATCTCCTTTGACAAAAAGCAGCAGGAGGAATGCACACCCCAGTAAAGCCAAGAAAGTCATGCTGCTGTTCACCAGTTTAGCTTCCAGAGGGATTTTTAATATTCCTTGATGATCCAATTTTTTTTATGCAGCCAGTAAGAGAAGACGCTCTCTTTAAAAAGTAAGTTTTGCTATATTTCCCTTAAGCCCCCTATCATAGAATTAATATATTTTTATTTTAAGGCTCTCTGCCTTAGTACAACTTTAAAGTCCATGAAAAGAAATAGAGACAGAATCTATTTTTAAAAAAACTATTTTCTCCAGCCATGTCCTAGAAATAAGCAGATTCTCCTCAGGTCTCATCCTAATCAAATAAACTTCCTCACTGATTTCAGTGAACACATTCCCCTTTTGGTTTTC